TTTTTTTTTTGTAAATAATTCAAACGCATATTTTTCTTCTTTCAACTTCTTAGTTCGCCTATCAGAATATACTTTAATTGTATGCAAAATTGATGAAAAATTATTATTTCATTATCAGCAGTTTTTGCTCAATCACTATTTGGACAAGTAACTAAAGAAAAAAGTTTTTTTTTGATATCTTTTTTTTCTCAGCTGTAAAAATCATCATAAGTGGAGTAAACATTCTGGAGATTTTTTTTTCATTTGCTTCTTCTATCATCTTTCTTTTGTTGAACTTCTAAATTTTTTCCTTTTAAACAGTGGTACCAGCAACAGCATCATCATTCCTTTCTTTATTTTCACTTTTCAATAAATTTTTTGCTCTACTTTCTTTTTTTTTTTGCTTCAATTTTTTTTCACTTATATTCCGCAAAATTAGTTTCCAAAACTAGTTTTAACTTAGCAATTCAACAACAAAGTCTGGAAAAAAACCATCTCAACAACTTCTTTTACAGCAGTCACAGCAGAAAGTGTTTTCTGTGTGCTTGAACTATAAAAAATTTTTCCGTGTTTGTTTAACGTAGCACAACAAAATGATACAATGTTAGCTGTAATTTGAAAAAAAATTTTTTGTGACAACAACAGTGAAGAATAATTTTTGATCTTTTTTTACCTCCAACTCATTAACTGTTAATAATCTATAAAAGTCACTGAACACTTTTTTGAAAGGTCGAGACAAATGACGAAGCAAACAGAAGTGTTAAGCAGCTTTTACGTCTTGTCTCCTTTGCTTTCTCCGCATCCCTCGCCAGCTGTCGATAACCGTATCGGCAAAATGGCTTCGACGGTTTTTCGCTAAAGTCAACCACTTTCACAAAAACCATAATTTCTGTAGCGATTTTTCTTTCCAAGCATTTAAAAAGACGAAAACAGAGATGATATAAATCGAAAATTTTTTTTTTTTAATAGTAGAAATGTTGTTGAAAATATTTTCCAAAATTACTTTTCAACAAATAATCAATGGTTATTTTGCTTTAGTTAGACCACCTTTCAACTACTGTTTTAATTTCCTCATTTTCTTTTCCCGATCAATAAAGTAATTAGCAATTAATAGCCTAATTATAATAAAAAAAAACAAGAATTGTCAATAGAAGCAGCCAAAGAGATTCAAACGTATTATAAAAACTTCATTTTTTTACCCCATTTTTTTTGTTTTTGCTCTTTTTTTTCTGACTATTTGTTCCTTGCTACGCCTAATAGTTAAGAAAATAAGTCAGTAAATTAGGCTAAGCCTTAGAGTGAACCTCTTCATTTTTTTGTTAATCCAACAACAAAAACAACAACAAAAAATTTTTTTCTGATAAAAAAGGGCAAATAACAGTTTGTAAAAGCTTATCGAATTAATTAAAAAGCAAAAAAAATAAATAAATAAAATTGTCAAAAAGATGGAAGAACGATATGCAATGAATATGCAGATAAAAGGATAAAAGAAGAAAAAAAAAGTAGCATCAAAAAATTTGAATTGTTAAGACATAAATCTTTGACAACAAAACGCAGAAAAAACATAATAAATTTTTGCGATTTTTAATATTTATATCAAAATTATTTATTTGTGCTTCTTTTTTTTTTTTTTGTAAGCATTGGCAGGAGCAGTAGCAGTCAGTAGCAGCGGTATCAGCAGCAGTGATAGCAGAAATTGCTGTGATACAGCTAAAATTAAAAAACTAAAGAAAATTGAAGTTCCCTACCCAGATTTATGTTTCTATTCCGCTTGGCCGCAACTGTGGCAGTTTTAGCTACCACACAGATTGCTAACAACAGCAGACAACAATTCCAAATATCCACTTTCAGAATATCCATTTTCAAAAGAAATAGAAAAAACATCAATTCTACATTGCAATTTGCTGGTTAAGTTTTGTTACTATTATTATTTTTTTTTGTAGAGCATCTAAGAAACATTTTTAATAGAGAAAAAAACTGCAAAGCCTTTTTTTTTTATCTAGTTGTTGCGCTGGCAGCAACATCAGTAACGGTAATATTGCTAAAAAAAATCACCTGTAATCACAACTTAAAAGCATTGAAGAAACTGTCATCTTGAGTCCCTTGTCTCTTTCCTTTTTGCATTTTCCTTACTCAGAAAAAAATAAATAAATAAATAGAAAGAAAAAAATTGAAAACAAATTGTTGCAGAATTATGCTATTATTTTTAAGATAAATGAAATACAAAAGAATTATAATGATCATCTTCTAGATAAAACACGGCAATTCTATCTTCGTCTTCTGTAGACGACAGTTGTTTCTTTGTTTACAATTGATAACTAGTTTAATCAAAAGTTGTTTGAACTTATAGACAGTAATAATTAATTTCGCTAACAATATTTTTTAAAGAAAATAATTCTTGTATATACAAATACAAATATTATAATGACTAGTAATCACCCCAAAAAAATCATCATCAGCCCTGTTTATTACAGGCAGCAATAAAAAAAATATGCAGCAATTGATAGAAATAGAGTATGGAGTAAAAAACAACGACAATCTTTAAAAGCAGCTATATCTTCAAACTTAATCTTACAAAAACCAATAAGCACCAAAACAAAAGATTTGAAAAAAAAAAAAAGAAAACAAAAAAAGCTCGTACCAGTCTTATATAAAATCAAAATCTGGCGTCTATTAACCAAAATGGTAGTAAAAGAAAAGCAAATAACTTAA